TGACGGTAGCGCGTACTTGATGGAAGGTGCGCGCGCCTGCGATGATAGCCATCGATGCAAGGTAGACCGAGTTCTGAATTGGTGATATCTGCAAGCGACACGCGTAGTCAGTAAAGTTGCGTTTGCAGCTTAGCAGATTGCCCATTGACTTACGACCAAGTTGCTGACTACGATCTGCAAGATCTTGGCTCTCAGGCTCGTCCTCCCGGCGAAAACTTTCTGTAGAATGCTGATCAAGAAGTGTCCTAAGGGTGCACTGACAAGAGCGCCGTAGACCGCCATCTTTGGCACTCTCGAAGTGAAGTAGTGTCCATTCTTGTTGCGGTCATGCGCAATCCAAGAGGCCAGGAACTCTTGCAGAGCGGAAAGTGTGCCGGATGTGAGCATCTTCGTGCGCAGTGGGTTCGATTGGAGTTGCATAAGGTAAGACTGCATCATCCCATTGTAAGCCTCTCCTTTCTCTACAAGCGCTGCAACGACGCGACGTACAGCGAGGTATCCATTTGGCCCGCCTCCCCTCGTCAGGACGTTGCCAACTTCATGCGCCAAGTCATGCTTGCCAGCTGGGACGTTGGTCCGGATTGTCTCCTCGAACTTGACAGACATTGTAGGAGCTTCGAGTCTCTTTCGAGACGAACAAGCTGCGTGGAGTTTTCCTTTGAGCTGCAGCACTGATACTCTTGCGTGGAGTGCCTCAGCGGATGCGGTGATAGGATGGTGCAAGGTAAGACGATGGGCGATGGGCTGTTTGTTGTCTACGACCGCCCTGTTCCTCGGCTGCACCGAAAAGAGTTTAGCAAGAATCTGGGGGCGGGGATTTCTAGATCCCTACGGCATTGCTTCTCCGTTGTCACTTCCACCGTGAGAGAGCAGTCTACAAGTCTTCAACAGCATAGATGCTATGTCCCCCAGAGAGAGATACCGTTGGCGAGAGCTGTCGCCAGGAGCTCAGGTAGCACTCGCTGACCTCTGCGCCGTGTGACGAGGCTCCCAGGGCATAAGCAACAACGTGTCCTCCGTAGCTGCTCTGATGCCAACGCTCGTCCGGGCTGCTCAGTCCCTTTGGGTGTTGGGCTGACTCCAACTGAAGGGTGCTCGATCCTGCATTGAGGAACAAAGCAGGGACATGGGCCTCAGAACGACTGCCATACGCTGCGACAGTGCACACAGTCCCTTGCTTCTGCTGCTACAACGCTCCTTTGCGTAGGATTGATCTCCTACTGTAGTAACTTTGACCTAACCCGCTATCTCAAGCTTCACATGAGTGAGAGAACGGGAAACAAAAATGGTGTTTCGAGTTGTGCCTATCGAGGTCCAGTTCACTTCGGAACTCTGCGAAGCTGCGCTTCGTCCATTTTAACCTCCCAATTTCACCTCAACACTGCCAAAGCTGGATTTCTTCCTACCTGAGCCCAACCAAATCATTCTTCCTCTCAAGCTTTATTCAGCACGAGTCTTCGGCCCCTTTTCGAGTTTCCTTGTGAGGGCTTCCTCGCTCGTTGCTGTTCTACGGGGCGAGCTTCTGTGGGGTTCTTCGGAGTATCAATGCTGCAAGAAACCTCACCAGGTCTTGTCAAACTTCCCTCTTGCTCAACTCAACGGCCATGAACACTCTGTTGTCCCAGCATCCTTTCCCTCCAGACGGCATGGAAAGAACAGCATTGACTGCACAGCCCTGTGTAAGCCTGACGGACTTCATGTCGTCAACTCCCGCAAAGGTATTGGTTCCCTCCCGTACAGTCTGCTCTCACGCGTTGAAACATTGTCACGAACGCGACTTGGCTTGCAAGGTGTCTCGATCTGCTGTCAATGGCTAGCAGTGCTTTTGCGACGTCTGTTCGGACAAGAAGCTGATGTCTTCGCAGTCACAAACCCCTATCCCAAGAAGGACAATGGGAAGAGCACAATGTACGCATATGACAGTCGATCGCGTGTACGTATCTGGAGTTTGTCACATCTGCCGCCAATCACCATCGCTTGGATGGCTATACCGCTGCAACCAGGACCATCAATCGAACCCTTCTGCAGCAACGGAGGCGCTGGGACCAGATGCGTCTACCGAGAGAATCGCGCAGCGTGCTGAACTAGAGACACTTGGCTTGAGTAGGTCGATCATCAATTTGATAGAGAGCCACTTCTACACGCCGGAGCAAGTCGAGATTGTCAAGACACAGAAGGAAACCCTCAAATGTACAATCGCGTCACTGAACTTGGATCAAGGAACTTCGAAGACTTCCACTCCAAACCCAACACCAACACCCAACAAGGTGTCTGGTAACGCGCCACCCCTCTCGCTCTCTTCCACGCCACGTCCTTCTCGCCAAGTAACCATCGACGACCTATCGAAGACACCGCAGAATACCCCAACAAGGCCGCGACGCGAATCCCGACGCAAGTTTCAAGTTCAAAGCGTCTGTCGGTTTCAATGCTGCCACCACTGCCGTCCATACTACACTCAACGAGCCTGCATGTCATTTGAGTCGGTCATTGCTGGAGAAGTGGCTCCTCTGACTACTTCGGACCTGGCAACACTACCAGTACATGACATCAACGTCGTTCGCAACATTGGGCTGCGCAATTTACCACCATCTACTCTACGCGCCACAAGTTCATTCGGTGAACTTTCTCAATCTATGGATGTGTCCAATCACGGTAGATGTCCTTCTAACAGAGACGGAGCAACGCCCTTGAGTGAGTGGTCGCACGATGGATATGCGATGCAGTGTCTGACGATGATCCAAGAAATCGACTGGCTTCGTTCTGAGCTAGCCAGAGTGCGTGGAGCCCTCGACCACGGAGACTACGCCGAGGAGCCCGAACGTGGCAGTTCGATAAAAACTCTCAAGCCAACTCCTGAGACACTCACGAAACGCAACTGCTCACACTCGTCCGCTACTTACACAGACAGGGAAGCTCCACCTCCGAGAACTCGGGATACGACATGCGGTGTTGACGGGGAAGAATTCGACATGTTCCTGTTCCAGAAGAAGTACAGTCATATCTTGAACATGAAGAAAGAACAACAGCAAGACGCGCACGACACGCAGACCGCAGAGAACGATTTTGGAGGTGAAGAGGTGGAGTTGGATGGTGGCGTTGCTCTGACAGAGGAATCCGTTGAGAATCACACGCCGGATATCATCACGGAGGATACTATGACGCAAATCTGATAATTGAAGAGCTCTTCGATGTACACATTGGCTGGAGTCAATCTACTGTTGGCAAGGTATGGGTGGAGGGATACATAGCTAAGCACCGCATCTACGCTTCTTAGTGGATGTACCGCTTCCGACAACAGTACCCATACTGACTGAGAGTTCTCTCACCACATTGTTGTACACACACAAAAAGATCACAGTTGTAGCTTGATGCAGCTGTTATGTTCACCCCACCGCTTAGAGCCCTACAAATGTTTCTCAATCTCACTGATTCAATGACGGCTGTGGTCTGTCTTACCCCACGGCGTCGGCGCCGCAAGAATCGAGTCAAGCGTTGATTGTCCGAAACATGATCTCTGTCATTGGGGTGTACATTGAACGTGTACTCAGCGAGAGCACCAACGCTGCCGACGTCACCTGCGGACTTGTTTGCCCACGAAGCAACGCTTGCTTCTTTGTGCAGCTCAAGTTGTCTACCATCTAGTTGTAGCTGATGCTACTCATGTACGACCACTCGGGTTGTGTCCAATCTCTTCTCGTGATTACTTACATTACGGACCATGATCTTCAAATGTTGAGCGGTTAATGAAGCATGGAAAATGTCCCGTGTACGACAACGATGTCTCAGCACGTAAAGAAAAGGCTTCCTGGTAGTGTGCACCAGCTCTAATGAATGCGGTGGCGAGTAGAGGAGGACAGCAATCGTCCATCCATTGACCTCAGATCTGCCAGCTCACTCGCTTCATGCACCAAGCAGCGCATAAACTCCCCTCGCACAGAAGATTCGGCTCCTTTGGAGGGACGGAATACTCTGCATAGTGGTCTACAATATGGTACACATTAATGGACCTCCCCCGATGCCCATCCGTGACGCCTCCAATCGCTAACCAGCGCACGACTCCAAGCACAGAGCGGAACGATACCCTCCCAACGCCGGAGCCATCACTTCTTCTCCTGCTCCTCCTCGTCATCCGCATCCCGCTTCTTCCAGTTCCACACCTCGTATATCTGATCCATAATCAACCCTCCATAGCCGCGTCCCTCGTCAAGAGCCTCCTGCTCCTCCCTCAGCCGCCTCTCCTTCCACCCCTCCTTCTCACTCCCCATCCACACGCGCTCCACAATCCCCAGTGACTTGCCCTCCTTATCAACCTGATCGACATCCCCCCTCTCACTCCCCTGCCCGCTCGGCTGCGCCCTCAACAGCCTCTCCTCCTTCAGCCGCCTCTGCAGCTCCCTGGCCTTCTCAGTCGGCAGGCTGCCACCATCTTGCGAGGTGGCGTGATGGAAGTGCTGCAGTATGGAGCGTCCGCTGCGCTCGCGCGTCAGGTGGTTCGCCGAGACCAGCCACGCGGTTCCGAGGCCGAAGGTGTAGAAATCGACTTTGCGCGGGGGGAGCAGCGCAATGGCCGGGCAGAGGAAGAGCAGCCCCAGGGAGAGATTGTGTGTTAGCGAGCGGAATTGCTCGGTTTCGGCGGTCGTCGGAGGACGCGTTGGAGGTTGTGGCGCGGACATCGTTGCGCTCGTGTCGAGAGGTAGGGTGGAGATTGTGGGCAGGTCGGTGGGTGGTCTAGCGGTTTCGTCTAGAATGCACACTGGAATCGCTTGTATCGTGGTGTAGCAGAGTCGTGGTTTCAAGGTACTCGAGTTGTACGAGTAACGAACGGAAGTCCAGAGGTGGCGAGGTCACAGGAACCGGAACCTCTCGATTCTAAAATGCATTTCGTGACAGCGATACCTCGGCCAGCCTGTCCCTACCTTCCACATTCAACTTCCCACACGCATGACACACATGTGGTCAAGATCAGTCGGGCAAAAAAGAGTCGAAAAGCAAAACAGAAGCGACGTGCGCAGGATTCGAACCTACGCCCCCGAAGGGATTTGATATCGGAAAATGAATTCGAGTCAAACGCATTAACCACTTTGCTAGCACGCCCACTGTGTTGACGTACCCACATCTAATATGTTATGACCTTGTTGTATGCGCTCCACTTCCGTCGGAACGAAGTCCACATACAATAAGAGCTCAGTTCTTGCTTTACTCAGTACTATGGTAGCATGACCACAAGTTCATACAGTCGGAGTCATTTCTAGACACAATCTATTTTCTACCTCGTGGTAGTATAACATCTCCTCGCTCACTAAACCTGAAACCCTTTCGGCAGCCGGCAGACACGTGGTGGTTCGTCGGGTTAGAAATGTTGTTGCAAGATCATCCGTGAGCCTGACAGTACTACCTGAACTTCTCTCTTCCCGACGTCGGGCTAGGATTTCGCATTACTTCGGAATTGTACAACACAATCACCGAAGTCGATCTTGGATCTTTGAAATTTATTGCTCTTGAATAACACAAAGACTCTTCATTACCAGCTGGGCGCAGGTGGTATCAAAAAAGCATTCACTTGTCGTAGAGTCCGTCCTCTCAGGAGCCTTTCCCTGGGCTTGGCCTTGCCTCCGAATGCTCATTCGTCCCCTGTAAATTCTCCTCAGCATAGAGGCATCAGAGAAGCCAGGTGCTACTGACTTGTCGTAAAAGAACGGCGTCTGCTAGATTAATTTCGCTGGTCTGTGACATTACGATCCCGACATTGATTGGTAGCTCTCAAGTCCTTCTCGTACCAAACTCCATGCCCTTTCATGGATCCGGACCTTCAGCAGGTTGCCAAAGGCCGAGGCCGTCCTCAACGGACAATTTGCTCCTGCCCTCCTCATGCGCGACTAGAGCCCCGTCCGCTTCAGCAATGAGATCACTCCTACTCTATAGTCAAGGTCCTATGAAGGTCCTATGCAGCACGATGAGATGGTACAAATCTCGTCCTCTTAAGCTAGAAGCAAAGACTCTGAGACGAAGCTGAGCGCTACCACCGAGGGCGAATAGAAAGCAACTGCCGCTTACAAGAATTCTCAAGGCTTCACACCAAGACTCAAGGTCAAAGATCCCAAAAGATACCGCAGAGCAGGCAGCTTACGAAGCTGGGCGAGCGAAGGTGACGATTGTCGTTCTCAGATCCTACAATCTGTCTCTTGAAAAGTTGCGAAAACGCCCCCTAGTACACGAAGCGCTACTAGAGATCTTCCTTGCCGTGGACGTGTAGAAGACCTCGAAAGATCCAGAAACCGCTCTGATGCTGAAAGGTTGATCTGTTCCAGCCATCGTCGTCCACGATTGGAGCTCGGTCCGCCTCGATAACAAAACCCGCTACTTAGCGGACATCCTTTCGGTCTGGACAGTACTTGATTCTTCCGAATCCTCAGGGGTTCGGTTCTCTGCATATGTGCCTAGCTGGTGCCCAGATCATCGAAAGACTCCGGGAAGGGAAGGAGACACGAAAACGCTGTATGGCTGTAAGATGCATCGGCTGCTCTGCGAAGGACCAGAAGCCGCACTGAAGTACGGACTACCTCGCAGAGGACGCTCGGTGCCTGATCGTCTGGGGGCGTGGATGCTATGATGCTCTGTTCCTTGCTCCACCTCTGCTCTCCGCTCAAAACCTGCGGTCAAAACGCTCCGTGAATGTACCTGGAGGTCACCATGGTCAGATGCAGTAGACCGTTTCTCGTGTCAAGGTCTAGATGCTCGAGCGTTCGTTATCTTCTGGATGTAGTCAGCAGCACGTTCCGCTATAGCTGTATCTGACGTCGGCTTCCGGCGATTGCGCTTGCATACACAATAGTCTCGTACTTCTTCAGCATCTCCTTCCTTTCAGGGCAAATTGGCCAGGTGCAGAAGATGGGCTTGACATGGATGCTGCTATTATGTTATTGGGGACAGAAAAATCCCACGTGTCGAAGTGCAGGGCGCGTGAATGCATTGCAAACGATGCTGCATCATCGTTATCAGCAGATGTACATGTTTCTCAACTGAGGAGTGGAATTCTTCAACCTAGTAGTCCCCAGAAGACGTCGAAGCATTATTGTGCCCAACGGCACAAGAGTGATAGCAGTGAGCTAGGGATGCTACCCCTGTTCGTTTGACGATACTCTACATACGCTATCAACAACACCTACTTCAAGCCCAGGTCCCGTATTGTCCTGAGATCCCCAGTCTGGAAAGAGACAGGTTCGACGACGGCACAGACATGGCAGTCCCTCGAGCCAAACGACGTCGAACGCGACTAGAGAAGGACTTGAAGACGAAGCCGAAGTAGACGGGCCTAGGAGTAGATGGACATAGACAGCTCCGCTCGGGATTCCCAGACTCTTCTCTGACTTCGCAAGCCCCAGTGTCCAACTTCACTTTCCCCGGTTTCTGATTCCTAGTCTCCGGTTTCGCAAATCCCGGTCTCTACAGGTCCACCGGCTTCCAACTCTCAACTCCCACCTCCTGCATTCACCAGTCCTAGTCTCCGACTTCACTTTTCCCCCCACTGTCGGATTTCGGATTTCCCAGTCTTCCACTCCACTTCTCCTAGACTTGGATGCTACCTCACTTTTTCCCAGTCTCTGATTCCACTTCACCGAATCCGCGCAACAGACACGCCGTGCCGTCTCACCCCCCTCCTTCTGCGTTTCTACGTCGTATGCCATCGTGTCGCATCATACCAGATCACGTCGTATCGCACCACGTCGTGTCACGGTCACTCGTGGGGAACTACTGACTCTTGAGTTCGAATCTGGAAGCGAGCGGCGCCGTCGGCATCGACGCCGACAGTCTATTGTGTAAAGCTGTGGCTCGTACGAAAAAGTGCGCGCACGGCGTCGATCGAATGGGAGGAGGCCGAAAGCGCCAAGAAACATTGCGGGAGGAATGGATCGAGAGCAGATGGCGCTATGTTGTCTCGCCGCTGGAGATCAAAGTGGATCGACGAAGGAAGCGAGTGGGGCGTGCCGAAGCGTACGTTGTGAGGTTGCATCGCCACGACGAGGCGACAAAGTACGCCGAGCCAGTTCCTCTGCCCAGTCAGGAGCGGAGAGCACGATGTTGTCACGAGTGTGCTACGCTTATTGCACGAGTCCGTGATGGCACAAGAGCGACGAACCATGTGCTTGACCGCTAGAACATAATCGGGAAACAGACAGATACATACGAACGAGAACGGACGAAAAAGGCGGGTATCGCGGGTATCGAAATCGTGACTGAAGCACAGCTCCGACTCCAGAAGCCCCAGACCCAGCTCCAAGAACGCCCAAAATCAGACGTGGCAGCGTGCGTGTTTGGCATCAGACGACCGGCGGCAACGCAGCCGGCTTTCATCTTACAGATCCAGTGGCAGGCGGCGATGTCGTCTCACGCCCACCCGTTGTCGCTGTCCTCTCCAAAAACACCCGCACACACCTCCAGCCATCGGCACGCCAGAACCTCGGAAACATTCCACCGACGGACGGGGTCCATGTCGAGACATCCGGCAACCAGCTCGACCGCATCCTCCGAGCCGCCGCGGGCATCCCGCACCGCATCGTCGTCCCACTCCCCCCTCAAGATCATCATGTGTAGCTTCGGCTGGAAGGAGTGTTGGAACGGCAGGTCGCCGACCAGCAGCGCGAAGACCACGACGCCGAACGCCCAGACATCCGCGGCAGGCTCGTAGAGCGGGCCGCGGCTGTTGATGAGCTCGGGAGACGCGTACTGCAGACTGCCATCGATGGTGTTGGTGCTTGTCTCTGACGGCCCTAGGTTGGCGTTGTGGGAGCGCTCCTCGGGCTCGTACGGCTCCGGCGAATTGTTGCGATGGTCGTGCGTGATGAAGTCCGACATGCCGAAATCGCAGAGTAGCACATTCCCGCCTTCAACTGCGGCGTCGGGGCCGGACATGTCAAGAAGGCAGTTCTCGAGTTTGATGTCGCGGTGCACGATGCGGACGTCTTCGTGGAGATAGCGGAGAGCCGACGCCAGCTGGTACGAGTATCGTTGGGCGAGGTGGGCTGGGAGGCCTCTCTGGTCGGTCTTGCGGGTGTTCCGGACGAGGTCGAACAGGGTGCCGCCAGTGTTCAGATTGGTGATGCAGAAGGTTGCGAAGGGGCTGTCGTAGACGGCGATGAGAGGCAGGATGTGGCGGTGTTTGAGGAAGCGCCAGATGGAGACCTCGTGCTCGAAGTGTGCTTGCAACTTGTCGTTCTCGTGCTCCGACTTGCTGGAGACTTGCTTGCGCACAATCTTGACCGCGCGTCGCACCTTTTCGTTATTCTCGATCGTGTAGACCTCTTTGACGACGCTGAAGCCACCATAGCCTATTTGACGGCCGATGATGTATCCGCTGTGATCCCCTATTTCTTGTCCTTCGTCGTCGGGCTCGACCATCGCTGCAGCTTCCTCCTTGCCCCATTGTGAGAGAAATGCGCTCGCTGGTGACATTGATGAGTTCGAACGTATCGAGCGGCCAGAATTCTGGCGAGTTTGCCTCCTGAGGCTGCCGGTTCGTGAAACGTCCGAGCGATGCCCTTTGGATCGCACAGAGCCGGGTCGCTGCAGATTGGCCCATGAAGCCGAGCCACGCGGCGACGCAAAGTGAATCGGCGATGATACGGGCAGGGGTGAGAGGAGATACTCTGTCATAGGCTCGACAGGGGTATGGAGCTCTTCCATTGTCGGAGAGATGGTAGAGTTCGAAGTCAACGAGGCCATGTGCTCATGGTTCTGCAGCCCGGAGTCTCTAGCTAGGTCGTCTACGGTTGCCTGAAGAAGTGGATGCCGACTTTCACCAGATCGATACTCTGGTCTGGCTTGCTTTCCTTGCTCGAGAAGCTCACCAGTGAACGGGTTGTACCTCGACCTTCTCGACTCGCTGTAAGCTCGCTCGGACGGTAGGTGTGGTCCATCGTCGTGGATTTCGGTGCGTCCTCGGGACTTTTGGGGGCTCTGTTTTGGCTTCGGCAGCCGTTCTTCGAGGGAGCGTCGAGCCCCATCGTCCAGAGTCACTTCGGGAGCAAAGCTTATGGAAGAACCCCGCTTCCGTAGCGATTCTTGTAGTGTCGATATTTCTGCATCTCGCGGGAATC